AGATTCCATCTTTCTTTCTCTCAAGTTTTCAAAATTCTTAGGAAGGTGTGTTTGTGACTTTGTGTGAAATCTATACTTCTTCAATTATTCGCGTGTCGTTTTGAAAAGTTGCATAGTTATTACTACCTCATGTTCATGTCGTTTTGACTTTTGTGATTCATCCATTTTGTTATGTATCTAGACATTAATATATCTAGATACATAACAAAATGGATGAATCAAAAAAGTCAAAACGACATTTATAATGAATAGGAGGGAGTAAAGTATTTTTTTTCAATAATAACCTTTACTAATTGGATAGAGATGAATGTTTTGAGAAAAGATGAAAAATGAATATGAAAAGACGTAGTGTAATTATTAGCTAGACGAGAGTAATAATAGAAAAATATGTAGAAAATATCCAAAACGACATTTATTTTTGTTAATAGTCGCTAATGTCATAATGACATTTAAAAAGAATAGAAGGTAGTATGATTTTTTTTTTCTTTTTGGTTAGAAATTATAGTCATTATATTTCTTTTTCTATTAGTATTTTTTATTTTATTTAATTATTTATTTATTTTGGAAAAATCAACAAATCCCAAGGAAATAAATGTTGTTGAAATACGAAAATTTGTTTATTTATTTATTCATTTTCGATAATTAATTAATTTTCCATTAAATTTCAGTTTTACAAAAATAAAAGATGTTAAATATGGGACAAATCCATCCTTTTTGCAAAAGTTCTATCGGTATTTTAATATTTTCCCGCAACAAAAACAAGAAATAATTTATTAATCAGCTTTCGTGAATAAATATTTTCTTCCCTACCTAAATAATAGAAAATAGAAAATAAATACAGATGGGTATAATGTATATTCTAATTTCCAGAATTTTTTTTTTATCTTATACATTAATATAACTAATATCTAATCCACACGAGTTTTTAGAAAATTCATAACAACAACAACAACAACAACAACAACAACAACAATAATAATAATAATAATAATAATAATAATAATAATAATATTCTTATATGAAGACCAATTTGTGGCCAGCCGTTGGATAAACACATACTCGTGTGCACATATGTTCCATGAAAATTATGAATTTATGGAGCAACAAATTATACCATTTTAGGTAAATATATTTTAAAAGAAAAGACACTAAATAATTACAAAAATAATTATAAAAATCTGATTATGGCACTAATAATAATCTATATTCAATTATATGTCAAAGCAAAGAAAAAAAAAAAAAAAACATAAAAACATGTACAGTAATTTCTGACACTCAACAAACTCCCTTAAGTTGACCTCAAATTAGTCCTTTGTTCATTATTTTCCAACACTCAAACAACTCAAAGTTATAACTTACATTAGTTATTACACATTTTGGGGACATCACTTATTAGCAAGTAATCTTGTTTTTTTTTTTTATTAGCAAGTAATCTTAACTTGCTTGATTTTACTAATGATCCCAATGGAGCAAATGATGGGCAAAATAGTAATTTCATGCCGCTGGTTCAAATCGGCAGACGCAGTCGTAAATGTTACCGTTGATTAGTTTTGCCGCCAAGCGCTGGTTCTTCACCATTGCAAGCTGTGCATTTTTAAGTTTGACAATGAGAAAAGAAGATGAAAGTTTCAGTCGAAAAAAATGGAATCTTGTCAAGGCAAATGAAACTGCAGAAGCCAAAAGGGTTTGGAATTAATCTCGAATATGATTTGGTTATGTTCCAAAAATGTAAGGCATAAAAACTTCAGAAAATAACCGAGTTCCCGAGACTTCTGACCAAGTTACGAAATATATAAATTACCAAAATACCCTTGTGGTTTCGATTGGTTAACGGACTTCAGGCGAAATACTTCATAATTCATATGTGAATGGGGCATTTTGAAATGTCTTTTTGCATGTGAAGGGAGATAAATGCAAATCAAAATAGGATTGCAATTTTTTTTATTTTTTTTCTGCTGAACATTAGCAGTTGATCTTTCTGCAATTTCATCAGACCTCGAGGCTACCCTTTGCAATTAACCCCCTCAAACTATAAGATGAATCTTTTTGGAGTATTACAAGCCAAAAGAATAAATTTTTGTATGTCGACGAATTTATCGATATTTCGTTCAAAAAACAGTTATTTTTGCGTTTTCACTTTGCATTGAAACTGACCTTTAGAGCATCACATTTGAACTTTGCATTGAAATTCGTATGTAACGCACGTCCCATCCCTTCCAAAATGACCTGCACGAAGAAAAAAAAAAGTGAACAAAAACAAACATATTTATGTCGATCACACGTTACATAAACGAAAATAGCTAAATTTGCACCCCCAACATAAAAGATATAAATAGATAAATTGTAATAGTTTCGGGAAAAAAAAAAGTAAGGAAAAGAAAAAAGAAGAAAAACCAGATCAGCATTCTTGGCGGCAGCTGCCAACTCAGAGCTGACTTGTCGCAAGTCAATGCACGGACTTCCACATCCATTTTCGACAACCATTAACGGTACAGATAAGGATCTTGCTCTCGGGCTATCGAGATTGTTAATCATTGCATCCACTAAAAGCCCCCCTGCTTCAGCTGCCCCTCGAAGGATGTCACAATGCTGACGAGCCAAAAATAAATAAATAAAAATCGAGTCTTCTTATTACAAAAATAAAAAATAAAAGAAAAAACAACTATCCGACAAAAGTTGCAAATCAGCCCACTCATACTCAGTTTCTATGTTATAGCATTACAAGAAAATTGGGTTAAACCAAAAAATGTAGTTGCAACAAAACCATAGTAAGAAAATTGAGAAGTGTTGTTTGGTTTGTAATGGGGGGTGTGTAAAAGTTTTGGCATGTTAATTAGCTCCATATTTATAGAAGGTTATCGTGATTGATGGGAAATTATCGAATGTTTTCGAATTACTATTTTGTCTGAATATATAAGAGGAAATAGATACCTTTGCAGCTTCGGCAACAATGTCCGGTAACTCCATGGCTGTGATGTCGTTCAGAGCCGGGAGTGAATTGGCGACCAAAACAACCTGCAAATGAAAATCAGAACCAGACAAAAAATAAAAAAATCAAAAAAAATATATAAAAAAAAAAANNNAAAAAAAAAAAAAGAAAAAAACAGGAAGAAGAAAGCTTTATTATTGAATGTTTTTTTTCCAAGTACCACAATTAAAGAAACAACCTATCACATTAAGTCTATGTTCGGTAAAACTAGCTCATAAGCCAGCTTATAGTTTCTAATTGACTTTTGAGCTTATAGCTTATGACTTATAGCCGAAAAACTAACTTGCATGATAAAAGTGTTTAGTAAAAATTAGCTGATAAGCTAGTTGAAATAAAATTTTCAACAAGATTATCTAAAAAGCTACCCAACGAACCTTATAAGATAAACTCGAGCTTTGTAAAAAAACTTATTTGAATACAGAAAGCTTATAAGCTAACCAAATAAGGTTAGCTAAACATAGCCTAAAAAAAACTCTAATTAACGACTTGAGCTATGCAAGACACACACACACACACACACAAAAAAAAAAAAAA